TAATTTTTTTTCTGTTTTTGAGGTTTGAAACCCTCGACCTTAGCTTTGAGAGGCAGATATTGGATGAGATAGGTTTAATCTAGCCAGCTTACGACCTGGGTCAGGCTGAGTAGCTCAGATCTGCCTTCCTCCAGACCACCAAGGCCTACTTTCAGAACTTTTGGTAATCTATGTAGTTTGGAGAGTGTCCGCGAACGCGCTCTGTAGACTATGCTGGCCTGGAACGCACAGGTCCTCCTTCCTAGGATTAAGGGCTTGAGCCAGCCCTGAGCAGCTTGCTTTGGGACTTTTCAAAACTAGAATTTTAAATGAACATAGCCAAGGATTCGGCCTCCTGGCCCCAAGTCAGCTGAGTTTAGTCTCACCTCACAGGAGGCAAGGCCTGTAGGCAGATTGTATATAGTTTTAGCAATGTAGGAATTCTAGGAGTGTGTGTGGGGTTTATGAATGACGCTTCTGAGTGTTTCACAAGCAATTGTATTGCATTTGTTGGAGAAGCTGAATTATCAATGGACTTGGGTCAGTTTTGAAACCGGATACTAACCACCCTGAATTCACATATTGAAGGGACCAGCTCCCCTTTCAGCAGCCATAACAGCCGAACACGTGCTTGCCATAACCTTGCCTTGGTCACTAGGAGGTCAGATGCCTGCCTCGTGGTAAGGAACCAATCAGAAGTTAGCTGGTGGTGCTATGCTTTACGACCCTGGGTGTACTTTATGGACAAGCGCACAGCAATGACACAGAGCATAGCAACCCCCTGGGAGGACCTATGAGCCATAACAACCAGTTGGCCAATCAACACAGGGCAAACCCTCCAAGGCTGGAGGCACACCAATAGTGAGCTTGTGCGTACCCCTAGACACTCCCCTTACACTGTCCTACAAGATCTCTTGGGAGGCCCTAAGTCTTATCTTTGCAAGCCATCCTCCATGGTGGGTGGGTGAAAGATCCGAGCTATGTTAGCTCGTTAAATTACAATAAAACCTCATGCAGTTTGCATCAAGCTCTCGAATCCATCTGGTGATTGGGTGACCGCGCTAGTGGCCTGGGACCCCGGATACCTGAGTTTTCTGGGGGGTCTAACAATATCATTTAGGTTTTTGGCGCATTGGATTAAACTGTTCCAATGTTTGCGGTTTTCTGGTGGCTAAATTGTTTTTCCGGCTTGTGAGTCTCTCTGGACCATGTCAGCCTGTGGTACTCAAACTATGGGGGCACTTTTTGTTCTGGAATAAAGTGCCGCCAGGTTTTGAGCATTACCGACCCTCAGAAAGGGGCGATTTCCCCAGTTCTTAGTGACTCTTAGCATTCACCTAGTGTGGGGCACTCTTTGGACTTGAGCTACAATGTGTCCCTTGGTAGCACGTGTCTGGGACTCAGGGTATGGAGGGGAGAATGTTGAATGGGAAGGTTAGGGAAGAGAAGACTCCTTGGGACAGTAGTAGCCAGGAACTGAAGCAGTATTGGAGGGAACCTGGGGGGTCAAGGTGCCCCCAGGCTCCAGGGGACAACCCACATAGTGGTCATCAAAGTGGTTGCCCTCTCTGAGGCAGAACCGGAAAGTGCTTCCACTTTGTGTGAGACAAGCAGCCGAGTTGAACCCATTGGAAACTCTTGTGCACAGGCGCTGAGCTCAGGCTTGGGAGTGTGAGGAGTGCTGAACTCTGCTAAAAACGCTGGGCAAGTTAAGTGTGATGGAAACATTTTCATGTATGTTCCTTGGACCTAAAACGGAGCGGTAGTGGTGAGACCTAAGCTACGGTTATATTTTGAAAGAGGATTTTTCTCTTGGGAGCTTTTGAGACGGTTTCAGTAGGTTCAAAGTTTGCCTTGGTTGTAAGAAGTCCAGTTTAGGGCACATGTCTCAGTTTTTTTTTTTTTTTTTTTTGGGGGGGGTCGAGACAGGGTTTCTCTCTGGCTTTTGAGGCTGTCTTGGAACTAGCTCTCCTGAACCAGGCAGGTCTCGAACTCACAGAGATCAGCTTGCCTCTGTCTACCGAGTGCTGGGATTAAAGGCAGAGGGAAACTAATCAAGGCCCTAACAGAAACTCCACAAACTCCTTGAGCTACATTACAAACCACCTTTGACATGCTGTTTGAACAGGCTCAATGTGACCAAAACACCTCAGTGTTTTTTTTTTGTTTTGTTTTTTTGTTTTGTTTTTTTCAAGACAGAGTTTCTCTAACTTTGGAGTCAGATCCACCGGCTCCCCCCTCACACATGCTGGGATTAAAGGCTTGCACCACCATCGAGCACCCTATGAGGCCCTTTTGGAGATAGGCTGTCTATGCTGGAATTCCTGTCTACCAGATGCACAGATCCTGCTTAGGATTAGGGCATATGCCACTTTTTGTTTGTTTGTTTGTTTGTTTTTTCGAGACAGGGTTTCTCTGTGTAGCTTTTGGCACTGGCTCTGGAGACCAGGCTGGCCTCGAAGCCACAGAGATCCGCCTGCCTCTGCCTCCCGAGTGCTGGGATTAAAGGCGTGCGCTACCAACGCCCAGCTAAACAGACAAATTTCTAAGGTATTGGCTGGGGATGGCTGTTGGGCCCTTCCCCCATAGGGGTCTGCTGACCAGCTCGTGACTAGGAGTTTACCTAGCAGGTACATCCTGTTTTCTTCCTTCCTTGAAGGCCTGAGTGCAAGTTCCTGTTATCCTGTTATTTGCCCATTCAGGATTGCCTGATGGGCCTGGGAACCTGAACTTGTTATCTGGGTAGTTTTCCACCATCCCTGCTGACTGGTATATAAGCCCCCACTCTTGTTGGAATAGAGGGCATTCTCCCCCTGCAAGAAAGACCTGCTGTCTTGTCTTTATTTAAATCCTCAAGTCCCTCACCCTATACTGTGGAAGTGTTGTAGTGCAGGCGCTACAGATGGCTGGGCAGGGAAATATTGACCCCCCTTCATATATATGCAAAGATTCTGGGTTACTGCTTGAATTGCCTCTGGAAACTGGACAAATATTTGTGGATCTCCAGAAGCAGAGGCAAGCAGAACTCTGAGGTGGAGGACAGCCTTGTCTAAAGAGCAAGTTCAAGGTCAGCCAAGGCTACAGAAACACCTTGTCTCTAATATAATATCCCCACCTGATCCAAATAAGCGTCCTCTGCCCTTATTTTAATCTGTAGTTTCACACTTTGGCCAATAGGTGGGAGTCTTGTTACAATGGCTGACTGAGTTCCAGGGCAGCCTTGACTGTTAAACAGAGAAAAGCAAAAGTCACACATAAAGTAATGTCTCTCCAGTGCTGGATCACAGCTGTCCGAGGGAATAAAAGTCCTGGTGGCCTCCATTCTCATGCCGCAGCCCAGCTCAGCACCCGATATCCAAGTACGGTTTTGTGAGTCTAAGCGCTGCCAGCCTCCTGTGGGTCATTTTGTTCAGGTCCATTCCAAACAGCCTGTGGACAACATGCCGCAGCCCAGCTCAGCACCCGATATCCAAGTACGGTTTTGTGAGTCTAAGCGCTGCCAGCCTCCTGTGGGTCATTTTGTTCAGGTCCATTCCAAACAGCCTGTGGACAAACATGGGACCGTTACTATAGTGACTACAAAGACAGCATCATGGTACCCTGCATTTTAGCCTTTCTTTCTTCAAGATTTATTTATTATGTATACAGTGTTCTGCCTACGTGCCAGAAGAGCGCGCCAGATCTCATAACGGATGGTTGTGAGCCACCATGTGGTTGCTGGGAATTGAACTCGGGACCCCTGGAAGAGCAGTCAGTGCTCTTAACCTCTGAGCCATCTCTCCAGCCCCATAGCCTGTTTTTCAAATATTGTTTTCATTAGTTCTGTACGGAGTGCTTCCTGCTTTTGCACAGGGCCAGAGCTCAGTTCCACATACAACCATTTTTAACTCCAGCTCCAAGGGATCTGCTGTCCTTTTCTGGCCAACCTGAATGCATGTGGACACACACACACACACACACACACACACACAAAATTAACCATCAAAATTTCTCTTGTTTGGATTTTTTTTTTTTCCAACAGGGTTTGTCTGTGTAACCTTGGCTGTGTTGGAACTCAATCTGTAGACCAGGCTTGCATTGAACTCGCAGAGATCTGTCTGCCTCTGTCTCCCAAGTCCTGGGATTACAAGGTTGCATCACCACAGCCCAGTCTGCTGCCAGTGTTCTTAAGCACTGAGCTATCACTCTAGTCACAGCAATACAAATCTCAAGGGCATGGACAATGGAGATGATCAAAGAGAAAGGCTTTTTCTGCTATGTTTGGTACCCAGAGAGCAGTGATCTCAAGGTGGCCTCAGACTTGTAGAAGTACTGTGTGTCAGAGCTCAGAACTGTCCTTAGTCTTCCAAGGTTAAAATTATAAGGTCTAAGGCATGGCTACTGTAGGATGTTTGAATCTCAGTCTTGGCTGTCTTATCTAAATAACTACAGACTTGGTCTGAGGTGTGGTTACTCTTGACCCTCAAGGCCCATAAGGAGAAGTTGAGTCTCAGGCGTGGTTATCAAATGTTTGGTGGGTTAAGGTAGAAAGTGTGTTTGTTCCTTCTACGCAATAAAGAAGTCTTTTGCCATGTTCCCCTTTTGGTTGGGGTACTTAAGCTTGTTGAAGAATAAACTTGGGGAGTCCAGGATTCACGCATTGGATTGCCCTCTTGACTCTATCCTGTGTCTCTTTTTCTTAAGGGTCTTTACCTGCCATTTCTCAATCCACACCCCCCTTCCCCCCAGGTACGAACTTGGCAAGTTGGCTGGATCCCACTGAAGCCTAACGTGGATTGATTATGACAACTGTGCAATTCAGAAACACAAGTAAATGCCAAAGTTTAAACACTAATTTGCAGAGTTGGAATTTACAGCCCTGGGTGTACTAGGCAGGCAGACACTTTACTGCTGAGTCACCCTCCTAGCTCATATTTTCAGGTAGGGCCTCACTAAGTTGTCCAGGCTGGCCTTGAACCTGGGATTCTCTTGCCTCAGCCTCCTGTGAAGCTGGGATCCAGCTAGGGGGTTTTTGTGTGTGTGCTTTTGCTCTTACTACTGTTCGCCATGGTGTGCTTTGGAGTCCAGAGATCAACCTGTATATCTTTTCCTTTCCACCCTCGAGGGTCCTGATGGCGAAGCCTGTCATTGAGCTTGGCAGTAGATGCTTTAACCTGCTGAGCCAGCTCACCAGCCCTCGAGTTTTGTTTTAGGATGAGTATTTTGCACACATGCATGACTGAACCTCATATTGCAGTGCCAGTGGAGGTCACCAGGGGTGACTGGATCCGGAAATGGGGTTGGATCCCCAGGAACAGGTTGTGAGCTACAGAATGGGATCTGGAAACTGGGACCTCTGTAAGAGCAACAAGTGCTCTAACCACAGAGCCCCATCTCCAGGCTCCTTACTCCCAGTGTTCAGTTTGCTTGTTGGAGGCAAGGCTCTGCTGCCTTGGCTGGCGTGGAATTCTTAGAGATCTACCTGCCTCTGCCTTCCATGTGCTGGGATCAAACATGTTCCCAACCACTCCGGGCTCCTTACTCCCAATCTTGAATGTCTTTAGATATTAATAAATAAAAACCACAGGACACTCCCAGTTGTATTCTCCTTTACAGATGCAGATAGCATGGTGTGGAAAGCATGCTCAGTGGGTAAATAAACAGACTCAGAACTCCCAGATGCCAGCTGAGACTTGTTTCATTTAAAAGAACAAGAGAGAGGGCTCCGGGGTTGGAACGCTGGCTGCTCTTCCAGACGCCCTGAGTTCAATTCCCAGCCACCACAGAGTGCCTCACAACCATCTATAAAAATATTTGGTGCCCTCCTCTGATGTGCAGACAGACATGCAGGCAGAATACTGTGTATATAATAAATAAATATTTATAAAAATAAAGCAAAATCCAAGCAATGATGGCCCATGCCTTTTTAATCACAGAACTCAGTAGGCAGAGGCAGGAAGATCGCTGTGAGTTGGAGACCAGCCTGGAGCTAGTTCTAGGACATCCTTCAAAGCCACAGAGAAACCCTCCCTCTAGAAAAAAATAGAAAAAACAGGAAGTAAAGTCAAACTGTCCATGCTTACAATGCCAGCATTCAGGAAGCTGGGGCAGGAGGATGGAGAGTTTGAATTACCTGAGGAGTCTAATCCCCAGCTAGCCTCCTGCAGAAGTACTGGTCTCAAATATTACAAGCAATTGTGTGAGTGAAGGAGTTCACCTTTTATTTACACGCTTTATATTATTTTATTATTTACATATGTGCGTGTCTGTGGCTGTGATGTGGAGTCATGACCATGAAGGTCAGGAAAGGGAGTTGGATCCCCGGAAGCTAGAATTACAGGTGAATGTAGCCACCTGGCATTGGTGCTGAGAATTGAACTCAGGTCCTCTGTAAGATCACCAAGTGCTTTTAACTGTTGATCTGTCTCTGCAGCATCATTTATCCAATGTTTAAAGCGTCTCAATCATTTAGAATCCCTACCCCCAAATCTGAGGCCAGCATTCCCGAACCCCCTGTTCTCCCCAAGAAATCGGGGTCCATCTCTCACCACAGGACTCGAAGTTTGCAGCTTGGATGTCTCAGCCTCCTGCACAGCATCCTGACACCTGTGTCCCCCAGAGCGTTGTTGGTCACATAAAGCTCAGTCAGGCTCTGGTTGGTTCCCAGGATGGAAGAAAGGTCCTCACCTGCTTTGGATGTGAGGCCACAGCTGTCCAGCCTGCAGGGGACAAGCTGAGGTGGGTGAGGTGGTCTTTTCAGGGAGTTGAGGTGACAATTTTACAGATGGCAGGGTTTAAAGGAAACCGTCATGAGCCCATCCATTGGTTGCTGGACACCTTCCTTAGTGAGTGTTGTACCCTCAGCAAATAGAATCCCTGTCATGTTCACGCAGGTAACCCTAATTAGCTTCACCTGTGGCCAGAGGCAGCTGGATCTCTGAGTTCAAGGCTTCCCTAGTCTACAGCGCTGAGTTCTAAGACAGCCCAGGCTACACAGAGTAAGTAAAACATTTGGGGGGCGGGGACTTGGGGACAGAAAAATAATATAAGTTATAATAAAGTGAGTTATTATAGACTGGATCTCCTTTGTGGTTTGAAGGCAAGGATCAATGATTTCCTTCTGTGGTTAAATTGTTCCTCATTTCATCTGGAAGAGTGGAGTTAGGGATGGCCCCTGACCTCAGAGCTTCTCTGTCCCCAGAGAACAAATCTCTAAACAGCCAGTCCAATGCCTGCAGCTTGGTAAGGTTGTGGGTTTGGAAGGACAGACATGGTGGCTCACACTGTAATCCCAGCAGAGGGAGGCTGATTTTTGAGCTCAAGGTCAGCCTGGGCTACAGAGTGAGTTCCAGGACAGCCAGGGCTACACTGACAGATAATAGAAGCCCCAAATCCCAAAAGCAAGAGCTGAAGATGGCTCAGTGGTTAAGCCTGCTCTTCTAGAGGAGCCAAGTTTGGTTTCCAAGTTTGGTTTAGTTGGTTCAGAACATCCTGTAACTGATAACTCCCGGGTATCTGATGCCATCTTCTGGCCTCTGGACACTGCAAGCCCAGATGCACATAACACAAAGACGAAAAGAAACTGGCCAAGTGAAGCCACACCCGAAGTCTGATCCTTTTAGTTACACAAATTAATAACTGCAGTTTCCCCCAAGCAGTTTCTAAACACTCCCAAGGTTTGTCGTGTGTGTGTGTGTGTGTGTGTGTGTGTGTGTGTGTGTGTGTTTTTTTGTGTGTGTGTTTTTTTTTAGTGGGGGTTTTCTGTTTATGTCTAATTGGGGGTTGCTTTTTAGAGGATGAGGGATTCTTTTCTATCTCCACTTATGTGGGGAGTTATGGCAGCAAGTGGTTAACATGGTGACTGGAACAGGAACCTGAGATACCACATTTTCTATTTGTGGTTTTTTGAGACAGGGTTTCTCTTTGTAACTTTTGGTGCCTGTCCTGAAGCCTGCTGTGTAGACCAGGCTGGCATGGAACTCACAGAGATCCTCCTGCCTCTGCCCCTTGAGTGCTGGGATTAAAGGATCCAGCCATCACTCCCTGGCTCAGTTATTTTTATGTGTTTCCTACTTTTACAATGAAAATAGCCATCATTGTTTTCCGTTCTGTTTTTTGATGTAGCATTTCCTATATCCCACTTGGCCTGATAGTACCTATGAAGCTACGGCTGGCCTTAAAATTTCTACTTAAGCAGCCAGTGTGCAGTGGTGCATGACCCCGTTAGCATCCCCACGTTAGCATCCTGTCGCCCTCCTCCTAAGGAAAACACTCACCACAGCTTCTGGAGTCTGCAGGCCGGGTGCCTCAGGCCTTCCCCCAGCAGCCACAGGCCCCTGTCTCCCAAGTCGTTGAAGCTCAGGTTCAGTTCTCGGAGGCAAGAGTTGACTTGGAGCACACGGGCAATCCCTGCACATGCATCTGAGCCCAGCCGGCAAATGCCCAACCTAGAGGAAGGGATGGCCAAGGTGAGTTTGTTCCATGCCTTTTGGTCACCGCGAATGTGCTTAAATGCCAAATTCGTATGCTGGGGGCAGATATGGCTTTGCCCACCTTTGAGCTACAAAAGGGGAGAAAGCAAAGAGGAAGACAGAAGACAAGGACCAGGAAGCTGACAATTGGCTGTAACTCCAGTCCTAGGCAATCTAAATTTGTCTTCTGGACTATGCGGGTACCAAGCATTCACTTGGTCAAAAGCATACATGGAGGCAGACAAGCCACATATGTATAATTTTGTAATTAAAAAAAAAAAAAAAACAGGGATGGGGCTGTGGTGGTGCACACCTTTAACCCCAGTGCTCAGGAGGCAGAGGCAGAGAGATCTCTGAGTTCAAGGCCAGCCTGGTCTACAGTGCAAGTTCCAGGACATCCAGGGCTGTTATACAGAGAAACCTTGATGGTTAATTGTTGCAGGAGCCCATTGTGGGTAGTATATCCCTGGGTCAGTAGGGCTGGGCTTTATAACAGCAGCTTGCAGAGCAAGCCACAGGGAAGCAGCCAGTAAGCAGCAAATTTCTGTGTTGTTTTTTTTTTGTTTGTTTGTTTTGTTTTTTTTCTGCTTCAGGGTTCTCCCTTGGTTTCCCTCAGTGAAGAAGTGTAATCTGTAGGGTAAAATAAACTCTTACTTTCTGAAATCACCTTTGGCCATGCTTTTTATCACAGTAACAGAAAGCCAACTGAACTTTGGTCAGTGGTATTTGTTCTGAGTCCTGAAAGATGAACCAATCTCCCCCGGAAATTAATTGTGTGTGTGTGTGTGTGTGTGTGTGTGTGTGTATGTGTGTGTATGTATATATGTATACAGCATTCTGCTGGCATGTTTGCCTACAGGCCAGAAGAGGGCACCAGACCTCATTATAGATGGTTGTGAGCCAGCCTGTGGTCACTGGGAATTGAACTCAGGACCTCTGGAAAAGCAGCCAGTGCTCTTAACCACTGAGCCATCTCTCCAGGGCCTTCCTTTGAAACTAAATGTACAGCAGAACAGAAGAGCCGTTTCAGTGGTGTCAGTGAAAGTGTAAAGGCCCTGTGGCAGTCAGTGTGTGTGTAAAGGCCCTGTGGCAGGAAAACTTGACAGTAAGATTCTATAGCTAGAGCTGGTGAGGGATTGTGAGGGTCCACGTCCTCCATGGACAGAGAAGACAGGTCAAACATGCTGAATCGGGAACTCCACTCACCGGAGCGTCTGCAGTTTGCAGTCTGGGTGCCTGAGGCCCTCACACAGCAGAAGTACCCCGGGGTCCCCAAGGTCGTTCAGGCCCAGGTCCAGCTCAGTCAGGGTCTGGTTCAGGCTGAGGCTGGAGGCCAGATCTTCACAGGCAGCCTGGCTGAGGTGGCAGATTTTCAGCCTGTGTAAAAGCCAACCGGTAAGCATGATGGGGGAATTTCCTGGGGACATGGAATCTATCCTCTGCCCCTGTCTCCAGAGTTCAGTGTTCTCAGGATGCTGTGTGGCACACACCTGTGACACCCACCAGCACATGGTAGACAGGGAGGGAAGGGTTCCATTAGACTTGCCTAGGTGTATAGTGAGGCTCTGGATCAAAAAGCCAGGGGCTGTAGGTGTAGCTCAGTAGTAGGGCTCTTGCCTGGTGTGTGCAAGGTCCTGGGTTTGATTCCCGGCACCCACCCACCCCCAAAAGAAAGAAAGTAGAACACAAAAGCAACAAAAAACTGTTCAAGGCCTGGCAATGGTGGCACACACCTGTGATCCCAGCACTCAGGAGGCAGAGGCAAGCAGATCTCTGTGCGTTCAAGGCCATCCTGTTATACAGAGTGAATTCCAGAACATCCAGGACTACACAGAGAAACCCTATCTAAAAAACAAATGAACAAACAAAAAGACCTGTCCAAGATGCCAATGTGATATTACACGTATTTGATTACATACATATATACAGGATTTTCAAATTGCACTTAAAAATTATTTTGTGTGAGTTGGGCATGGTGTTGCACGCCTTTAATCCCGGCACTGAGGAGGCAGAGACAGAAGGGTCTCTGTGAGTTGGAGGCCAGCCTGGTCTACATAAAAAAAAAATTCCAATTTAGTCAGAGATATACAATGAGACCCTGTCTCAAAAGATATTTTGTGTGCTATACCTGTGCACATGCACAGCAGCAAGTGCTCCCCAGCATGGAGCCATCCCTCCAGCCCCTGTGGCATTTTCTTGATGGCTGATTAATGCAGGAACCCATCATGGGCATTGTTGCAGGACAGCTTGGAAGAGTCTCTCCTTTCACAGTGTAGGTCCAGGCACTAAACTCAGGTTGTCAGGGTTGGTGACAGGTGCCTTTACCCGAGGAACCATCTCACCAGCCCCTACAAGTACTTTTTAGTAAGACTTTTTATTGGCTAAAGCAAACAAGACTGGCATATGTCTCAAGCCTTTGGTCCTAGCACCTAGGGTTATATATGTGGAGATCACGTTTTTCCTTCCTGAGTAATGAATGGTTGAACTTCCTCAAGGGGTTGAACTTTGTCATCAGCCTTGATAGACAGTGCCTTTATCTGCTGTGCTGCCACCTTCTCTCTCTCTCTCTCTCTCTCTCTCTGTTTTCTTTGAGACAGGGTTTCTCTGTGGTTCTGGAGGCTGTCCTGGAACTCACTTGGTAGACCAGGCTGGCCTTGAACTCACAGAGATCAGCCAGCCTCTGCCTCTCGAGTGCTGGGATTAAAGGCGTGCGCCACCAACACATGGCCTCTTTTTCTAATTTTTAAAATTATTATTTTATGGGCTTGGAGAGATGGTTCAGCTGTGAAGAGCACCGGCCCCTCTTGTGGAGGACACGGGGTTCAATTCCCAGCACTCACATGGCAGCTCACAGCTGGTGTGGGATATTAGTTGAAGGTGTGTTACATTTGTTTATGCGGTAGAACATTTGTTTGATGGTGTAAATATGTGTTACATTCTTTCATGTTGCATTCGTTTAACTCAGTGAATCTGTGTTACTTTGCCTGCCTAACACACCTGACTGATCTACTAAAGAGCTGAATTGTCAATAGCTGGGCAGGAGAGAAGGATAGACAGGGCTGGTGGGCAGAGAGAATATACAGAAGAGAGAGAGGAAAAGGAAAGGAGGAGAAAAGGGGGAGAGAGAACAGCAGCCACAGAGCCAGCAACGGAGTAAGAAGGAAAGAAAGAGATAGAGAAAAGTAAAAGCCCAGAGGCACAAGGTAGATGGGATGTTTTTTTAAAAAAGATTTATTTCTTCTGTGTATAGCATTCTCCTTGCATATGTGCCTGCCCTGCATACTAGGAGAGGGCACTGGAACACATTACAGATGGTTGTGAGACACCATGTGGTTGCTGGGAATTGAACTCAGGGCCTCTGAAGAACAGCCAGTTCTTAACTTCTCTGAGCCATCATTGCTCCAGTCCCTCTAGGCGGATTAACTATGCAGAACCATCTGCAACTCCAGTTCCAAGGGACCCAGCACCCTCACACAGACATACATTCAGGCAAAACACCAATGCTCATGAAATAAAAAATACATAACATTTTAGCTGGACGGTGGTGGCGCACGCCTTTAAACCCAGCAATTGGGAGGCAGAGGCAGGCGGAGCTCCTCAAGTTCTAGACCAGGCTGGTCTACAGAAGTATATCCAGGACAGCTAGGGCTACACAGAGAAATCCTGTTGGGGACCTCTTTGGGGTCTGCTGTTCTTCTCGTAACTAAGGGTGACCCACACTGCTCTTAGTGTCCACTGTCTGTCGAGTGACTAGTTGTTTACTTCCTAGTTCCCTCCTTCCAACTAGGCCTGTATGCAACAATACAAATTATCTGCCCATTGCATGGGGCGGGGGGCGCTTGGGGGCATGGACCTTGATCTAAGTACATTTCCACTGTGGCTGATGGTGGTATAGAAACCTACTCCCCTTTGAAATAAACGGCATTCTCCTTGCAAGAGTGACTGGCTCTTTAGTCTTTATTTAATCCTGAGATTTCCTCCTCCAAACCCCTGAGAAGGTTGTAGCCCTGGCCGTTACAACAAAATCCTGTCTCGAAAAAACAAAACCCCACCCAAACAAAAATACAGAACATTTCACAAATTGTCTTATTTTGTATTTATGAGTGATTTGCCTTCATGTATGCTGTGTACTGCATGCGTGTCTGGTGTCTGTGGTAACCAAGAGAGTATTGGATCCCCTGTGACTTTACAGGCAGTTGTGAATGTCTTATGGGTGCTGGGAAGCGAACCAAGATCCTTTTGTAAGAACAAGTCCTCCTAACCGCCAAGCCATCTCTCTAGTTCCCTTTGATTTCACCTTTGAGTAAGATGCCAAGAGCAGGCAGTGGTGGCGCACACCTTTAATCCCAGCACTCAGGAGGCAGAGACAGGCAGATCTCTGAGTTTGAGGACAGCCTGGTCTATAGAGTGAGTTTCAGGACAGCCAGGTGGTTACACAGAAAAAAACCCTATCTCAAAAAAACAAAAGGTGCTAAGATCCTGAAAACACCCTACTGTCGATGCTCTTATCTCAGCCTTCCAAATTCAGAGGCATTTCTCTACTTTAATTCCACAAGGAGCTGACTGACCTACTGTCTGAGTCAGCTCCTGAAGAACTCACCATAAGGTTCGCAGCTTGCAGGCTGGGTGCCTCAGCCCTTGACACAACAGCTTCAGTCCCAAATCCTTCAGGGGGTTTCCGGTCAGGTCCAGCTCCACCAGATGTGAGTTGTTACAGAGAACAGAGGCGATCTCTCTGCCAGCTGCAGCCTCCAACTGACATTTCCTCAGCCTGGGAGACAATGAAGAAGCTGCCGGGTCCTGACCTACATGCCCTGTCCTGTTTAGTCACCTAACTCGAACCTGGTAGTCTTTTTCTCTTTCCTGTGTAGTTAGGTTTTGTTTGTTTTGTTTATTGAGACAGGATCTAAGGAGACCAGGCCGGTGTGGAACTCACAGAGATCCATCTACCTCTGCCTCCCAAGTTCTGGGATTAGAGGTGTGCACAACACCTGGCTTCAAATGACTTTGAGTTCAGGAAGTTCTTTTTGTTTTTTTTGTTGTTTTTTGGTTTTTCGAGACAGAGTTTCTCTGTGTAGCTTTGGAGCCTATCCTGGCACTCGCTCTGGAGACCAGGCTGGCTCACGGAGAGCCGCCTGCCTCTGCCTCCCGAGTGCTGGGATTACAGGGGGGCACCACCAACACCC